AAGGTGGTCAATGTCACACCTTTGTAAGGAGCCCTGAGATATTTGCTGTTATCCACTTATACATTTTGCAAGCAAAGTTTTCATGCTGGCATAGAATGCTGGCAGTAAACTACCATGACAGCACCCACTCCCACAAATAAAAGAGCACTTTTTCACATCACAAAACATGTCCTCACATGCTTATAGTTCAATGTGTAAATCAGGCTGCAAAGCATTCGTTATTGAAGATATTTGTGAAATGAGAAATTCAGATTCGTCTTTAAGTGCCTTGTTTGCTTGAAATCATAATTTTTAACGTGCATTCTTGGATAATGATGACCTGCTAATGAGTGCAAATTGAAGCCAGATTGGTGCCATTACTGAATCAGTGAAGTAATGATTACTGCAATTGTCCCTAATAGGGTTTCCACTTCTAAGAGTTTTAATCTACTCCTGAAGAAGTAACAGTAACTTATTCTGCTCACTTTTCATGCTGTACCAGCCATTTTGTGTATTTTTGTACAGTTAACTTTTGACCTGATATGGTAAGGTTTCAACTTTGGTTCAATGTGAGTGACTTACTGGCTCCACTTGTGGTGTATAAATTTCCGACCATCCTTGAATATTGTTGTTCCTGTGGCCCCTGTGACCTTCTAGTCTCCCCCATTTCTGTTGAGCACCTTTATGCAAGTATTACTGTCCCCATGTTACCCCCAGAACCCATGATCTTGGAAATGCCCAGGCAGCCATTGACCCTACATCCTTCCCATGTAGGAGCCAAAGCTACTATGATCTGTTTTAATTCCCCCCTCCCCCCACTTCTGGCTCTCCCAGTTCTCTCCCATTCTTTAGGAGGTCCCAGCTGACTATCTCTATTTGACCCCTGGTACTGTCATCATTCCCTCAGTGATGCAGTACAATGAAGCCCATTCCCAAAACATGAGGTTGCTTGCTTTCCTCAGGACTACAAGGATTGCTCCCTGATGAACCCTCTGACCATTACTGACCAAACCCACTGACTGACTAGGAAACAGAGCCCTAATTGACCACAGCTCACCCCCTGTAGTAATGTCTCCACAATGCCTTGACTGACCTACCAGTAATTGCCAGACTACTTATATTTGACCTGCAGGACCGATTGTACCCTAATCCCTGGATTGCAAGGAATGGAGCCCTGGACACTGGTAGCATGAAACACCTGACTGGTATTTGTGGTACCTCTGACTGACAGTAGGACCGCTTCACGCTGTTAAGGATTGCTCCCTTTGATTTTCACACATGGCCATTTGCACAAAGCACATGTGGTATGTTGCCACCTAGTGTGTGTGACTTCTGACTTTGCCATGTAAGCTGCCAGCACATGCTGCAGGTGTGATATTTCCGTATCATGGTGCTGCACAACCAACATGCCGACCCCATAGTACTGATAGATTGCCTGTTCAGTGCACTCTATCACATGCTGTCGCTTCTCCCACCGAGCTGAAAAGCAAAGCAAGACACAAAGACTGGAAGCCTGTAACAGCGCAAAACACTCTGGGCTCGAAGAAAACAATATGAGTCATACATAGGCTGGTAGCTGGTAACTGAGCTCTAAAAGTCATGTGCACAGAGGCCAGCAGTCTGTAAATGCTGAAGTTAATGAGTATGTGTTAAGAAAGCAATGTAAAGAGCACAGAGTTTGACAACCTACAAGCTAATCCAAAATAAGTGAACACTAAGAAAGCAATCTAAGACCCATAAGTTGCATTTGTGTCCCTCCGTGCAAAGTGACCTAGAAGAAGCATGCAAGTCATAGATCTCCCTGATTTCCAAAATAAAGTGCGAGTTTGTCAAAGAGTAGGCATGATGATGTGGCAAGATGATGGTTTGCCAATGCCAATTTGCATGGATGCAAGGTCAAGTGGGAAGATGGCCTTGGAACATGCAGGGATGTTGTTGTGAAGCAACATTCACACAATGGCTGAGATCAGCACTTAGCAAACTGCAGCCACTAGGACCTGCTCTGATTTAAATGGAGAGGCAATGGTATAGTGGTAATGTCGTTGCACTTGTAATCCAGAATCCCACAGTAATGTTTTCAAGACATGGGTTTGGATCCCACCTTGGCAGATGGTGAAATTTGAATTCAAATAGAAAAATCTGGAGTAGAAAGCCAGTCTAATGATAACTATGCAACCACTGTCAGTTTACTAATGAACTTTAAGGAAGGCAATCTGCCTTTTTTACCTGGTGTGACCTACATGTAATCCCAGACCCACAGCAATGTGGTTGACTCTTAGCTGCCTTCAGGGCAGTAGGAGATGAGTAATAAACACTGACCTTGCCAGTGATGCTCATTACCCATGAATAAATGAAAAGAAATCAGGAATTTGTGCCATTGTTTCTCTATTTGAAAGAGAGGAGGATCAGAAGTGACATGTGAATAAGATGAGTTAGAGTTTTAATTAGATGCAAATGCATGGAAATAATGTATTCTGAAGTTGTCATTTAAGAGAAAAACTTTTCTAAACAGCAAGAATCTGATATTTTCATTCTCATGGAATTTTCTCATCTCTGTCACCACTATTCTTGCCACACTAAGGAGGGGGATAATTCTGCTCCTAACGAAGAGACAGAACAACATTTTATCATCCATAAAGGAGGACCATGATCATAAATTTATGAAAATTCTGAAAACATTGGAGGATGCTGGCCCAACCTTCAAGGACAAATGTGAATTTGCTTAGCTTATAGTCAACGTCTTGGTTCACATTGTCAAAGCTTCGGTAAAAATAGTGAGCCTCAGTTAAGAGTGACAAAGATTCCTGGGGATGGTAGATAAGAAACCAAGTAACTAATCTATTAGCAATTGAACTCTTGAAACAGGTGTTGCTATAAGGCAGACAATGATATGGAATATCTATCAGAGAAAGTCTTTCAAAAGGATTAAGAAATTGTTAACTTTTACAAAGTATTGGTGCATTACAATCCACAGTTATCAACAATAGCTCTGGATTCAGCATCCATAGGTTTGGGTGCAATAATGCTACAAATCCTGTAAGATGTAAAACATAAGCCAATATATTATGTTTCAATGACTGCAGTAGAAACAGAGAAAGGATTCACTGTTAGTAGGAACTGCAGATGCTGGAGAATCCAAGACAACAAGGTGCAGGGCTGGATGAACACAGCAGGCCAAGCAGCATCACAGGAGCAGAAAGGCTGACGTTTCGGGCCTAGACCCTTCCTA